GGGCTCCCCCGACGTCCGACGTCTTGCCAAATATCGAAATGCAGGCTTGTCACAAGCTTTGGCCTCGGGGGGCGGCTGGCCCTGGAGAGAGGGGTCGTGACCTCCTTGGGGGCCCCGTGTCGGGAGGGGCCAGGACTGGCATTACATCGTTCCAGAGCGGCCTGGAACGCTCTCAGAGCGTTCCCCAGAGCGCTGAGGAACGACGGAACGGCCGCGGCGCCCGATACATCCTGCAGAGCAGCTGTATCTCAGAGGTGCCCCTGTCCTGGCTTCGCCTTACGGCCTTGAAGCAACCCAAACATGGGACGTCGCGAAATTTACCCATTCGCGGCTCCAGGACGTCTCGACCATCCCAGGGCCGTTTTTTTCATACCGAGTAGTTTTGTTGACGGTCCCAGGGCCTGTAGAGGTCCCCCAGGACGAAGCTTGCCGCAGCTGCAGAGCCGTGCATTAACCTGCACGGGACGTCACCAGAGCGCTGCGCTAAACGCGAAGGCCCCCACGGCAAGAGGCGACGCAGCTGAGCTGCTTGACAGGGGCAGTCTGTGTGGGTCCTCCACGGGTGGGCGGCGGGACCACGCCACCGACTGAGATTCGGGGTAACATCTGCAAGTGAATGATACATCTTGGTCCCATGACGTCACGATGCGATGCGCAGTGATGCTGCCATCCAGCTGTTCTGCTTCTGCCCGAGGCCCTCCGCACGTCCTCCTGCCAGAGCCGCCTGCCGCGCCTGCGCGAGGCGGCCCGTGCAGGCGCCAGCCCTTTGGCGTCCGACGGCGTTGTCAGCACCTTGCGTTTCCCAGGTCCCCCCCCGCGGCGCGAAGAGGACGGCGCCTTGCGCGTCGCGGCCTGGGCCAGCGAGCTGGCAATCTACCCGTGGGCCTGGGCTTGGGCGCGAGGGCGCGAAGATGGTCCTGCTTCGCGCATCGCGGCGCGCAGCGCGCAAAGGTGGGTCACCCAGGCATCCACTCCTGCTCAGCGCGGGTGGTGGTCACTGCCGCCGCCGCCGCCGTCCTGTCGGCCGCGAAGTGACGGAACGCAGACGACGGCCAGCCGCCGGCCCGTAGCGCGGCCACACGTCACTCGGCGCGGCCGGCAGCCCCATGCCCGCCGTCGGTGGCATTCGCCGCGCGACCGTCCTTGCCGTGGCCACGCTCGAGCCCCCGCGGCGGGGCTGCTACCTGAGCCGCGCGTCGGCCTCCGCCCTGCGCTCGGCCCCACCGCCCACATCTAGGCGAAGGCGCGGAGCCCCGCGAGCATGCTCCTCCGTGCCCTGGCGCTGCGCGTGTTGCTGGCTTCCTCCTGCTGGCTGTGCGCTGCGCCTCCTGATGCGGGGCAGGTTCATGATCGCACCTGTGCCGCCACCCTGGTGGCCTCGGCCGCCGCACGGGCGAGCCTCGCGACCTTCGACCGGCAGTCCACGTGCGCGCGGCCCTCGCCCTCCGCCTGGCCCCCTGCCAGCTGCGCAGCCGGCTTGCCAATCTCCCGCTGGTCCTCTTGCTGGGCGTGCTGTCGACGACCCGTGCGTTGCATCGGTCGCTGGACCTTCTCCATTCGTCTTGCCTGGCAGCCCGTTCCGCTGCCGCTCCTGCTTCAGTTCGCCGTCGCCGAATGGCGTGGGCACCTGAGCAGCGAGTCCGACGCCCACATGGGTGCAAGTGTGCTGCCGCTTTCTGAGGCGCCCCAGCCTGCGCGCAAGCTTGTGGTCCGCCTCGGTCCGCAGTGGTTCCCAAGCTACCGTTTCCCGTATGTGACTGTCGGTTTCTGCTGCGTGCGGGTTTCTCGTCGCGCCGCCACGAGCGACTCCTCGAAAAGGACGAGCGGCGTGCCCCCGCTGAGGCATGGGGTTCTCGTCGTGCGATTGGGGAGGGAGGTCTTGACCTACTCTTCAAATACTTGCGGCGACCAGCGCAGCGAAATGCTTCCTACGCGCTCCCTCTGCCAACGCAGTCACCGCAGCGCCGAGGGTGCGAGCAGCCGCAGGGCATCGGTCCAGCGTCGCCATGGGCCTGCGGCCATGGGCCACAGCACATAATGTTTGGTTCGCAGACCTCCGAGGAATACGCAAGACGCGGCCCGTTCACAGCCTCATGGCTTGAATCAAGTACCTGTGGATTGTTCTGTCCTTGTATATGTCTCTGTTTCTGTCTCTGTCTCTCTCTCTCTCTCTCCCTCTTTTGTTCGTGGGGTTGGGGGGGTGGAGAGGTTGGGAAGGAGGTTGGGGGGCTGAGGGATTGCGGGATTCGTGGGTTGGGGGTTGGAGAAGAAAGACCGCCAACCAACCACTTTCATACGCAATGCTGCAGAGCCTGTACCTCTCAAAGCTGCATGAGCCTTGGGGCGCTCCGATACGCTGAAGGCACGATGGCGGATATTAGTCTCTTCATTTCTCTCTGTGTCTCTCGGTCTCTGCCCTCTCTTTGTTTTTCCGTCTGGCAGTATGTCTGTCCATCATTTTTTCT